ACCTGCTCTTGCGGAGCACATTGGACATCTCCTCACGCTTCTTCTTTGCCCTCTTGTGAGTGCCAAGCTTTCTTTTGGCTACTTTCAATGCTCGCTTGTCCTTACCAACTTTCAGTAGCTCAGTGATTCTCTTCTCATATGGTGCAAAACCAGCAACTTCACGGATCAAACTCCTCACAAAGTGAACCCTTTTGCTGGTTTTCTGTGAATTATGATGAGAGGGCAACAGATGGAAAACAGGAGAGAGATCACATACATATCAGCAGTTAATCAGAAGCAAGCTAAGAACTTCAATATTCATAACTGCAACAAAGAAATTTCAACTGAGCCTGCTAAAAAAATCAACTGCAAAATATATAGCACAGCAAAATACAGCTACAAGAAACCAAACTCAAAAACATAAGTAGGTTATGGAAATTCTGCGGGCATAGAAAAAACTTACTCCTTTTCTAAGAGAGGGTCGAGGAGCCAATTCCTTCTTGGTTACAATGTGGCCTTTGTTTAATCCCACAAAGAGCCCGGTATTTGGCTGTTTTGAAGCCATTATCTGCTTCAATCAGACGAAATAAGTATAAGATGATTTGCAAAAGAAGCTTAAAACTGAAACCAACTACAATAAATAGAAAGTAATTTCAAAGTTCGTATATTGATAAACTGACAAAGTTTGGTAGTGTATAACTTTATTTTAGTCTACATAAAGCACACGATTTAATGCTAAAACAATAAAATGGATGGCTAATTAAAAAGGAACTCCACTATCAGGCAGTTAGAGACCAATCACCTAGAATGCCACCAATTAATGATTAATCCACCTTAAATATCAAACCAATATGCTAATTTTTTTTGAGATAAAAAAGTATAAGCAATATATTAATGCAATAGCACCAAGGGGATACAATCTATGTACAAAAGATATTTACAACTCATCAGCTTGTCAATGGCATATATAAATGCCATTCACTATCACTCTTTTACAAAAGATATGCACAAAAAGATACGTACAAAAAGGTCTCAGCCGCTCTTTTACATAATTAACAAGCATTCACTATCACTCTTCCCCTACTCATCAGCTTGTCAATGGTCAAAGCAATATGCTAATGTTTTGCAAATAAATATCAAGAAGTAGATAAATGAAAATTTGATTCAGGGGAAAAAAACTTCTCTTTTCTTCCTCTTAAATCCCCTCTCTAATTATCCTAAAAAAAATTTCTCTAAAACAGCATAACTGTTAGAAAAATCTAATGTACCAACCCGCATTTTACACCACATTATGTCAATGTATTCATTCATCTACTAGTGTCAACGGATACATCCCAATATTAACAAGAGTTTTCCCACTGTAACAGGTACTAATTACATTACAGGTATATTAACACAATATAGACCTACTATTTTACTCATCAACAATTCCTACAAAAAGTGCTCATAACTACTATGCCTCTCAACTCAACTACAAACAGTTTTCATCCAATACAGCAAGTAAA